GGGCCGCGGCGGGCTTTCGGCTTCCCAGCTTTGGCGCTGAGAAGCCGGCCCGGGGCCGTTGGCGTCCAGTTGTCATAGCAACCGGGGCGGGGCCACCGGACTGCCCCGGGAGCCGACGGGGGCCGGCGGGCCTCGGCCGCTGGAAGCGCGGGGCTCCCGCGCTGGGCGTGCAGACCCTTCACCTTCGGGTCTGTTTGCGCCGCAAGCGCCAGCAGCTGACGCCGTCTTCCCCGAAAGGCGACGGGCACCTCCGCGCCTCCCGCCGCCTGTTGCCCTGTCTGCCCGAGTACCAGGAGCCTCCAGTAAAGCCCTCACCAGTGCAACACGTGCTGTGCGTTCCAGCTGCCTCCCCACCCTGCTGTCCCCATTTGGGGGTGCACCAAGTGCAGCCCTTCTCCAGGGGAGCGCAGAGGAACCGAAAGCCCCCACTCACGACCCTGAAGCCGGCCATGTGGGAAAGGAGCCTTCTCTCCCTGTTCGACAGGAGCAGGGGCTGCGGGCTGCAGGGCTTCTCCAGACACCGGCCGCCTCGATCCTTGATGGACCAGACTCCTAGCAGATTCTGGGACACAAGACTGGGTGGGGCTGGGCTTTGGCTGAGTGCCTGGGCTTGAGCAGCTACTCGGGGAAAAACAGCCTGGGGAATCCAAAATGTCTGCAGCCTCTTCCTTTGCAAGGAGGCAGGAGTGGGTAATGGCGCTTGAAATTCCCTCTTTGATTCTTTTTTGAGGAAAAAAATTCTTTTTGCCACAACATAACTTTTTTGAGCCTTTAAATGTACATGTACATGGGCTGCATATTGCATAGAGGTCATAGCTCATTCTACATATGTAGCAGCCTGCCACGGGCGCACATCAATTCATGCCGACACACTCGCTCCCATGTCACTACCCATCTGCATACCAGACCTGGGGAGCCCGGGGATCTGTTTTCTGCCCGCCGGGTGAGAGGTGCTTTGCAAGGGCAGGTCGCAGGCTGCTGGCCCTTGGCCCCAGCCCCTCTCACCTTACCCCGCGTCTTCGACAGGGCTCGCTGAGTGATGGTGCTGTGAGAAGCAGCCCCTGAGTCTGGCCCCCATGGCATGGCAAGACAAAGATGGGGGGCAGGCCCCAGGCTCTCCCTGGGCTGCCATCCTGGAGGCCGTCCGGGAGCAGCTCCCCTCTCTGGACTCGGACTCCTCGCTGGTAAGCAGCGCCTCCTCCCTAGGTCCTTCGGGCCCCTGCCCTTTCTTCACAGGACAACTGTGAAGCCGACCCAAGGACAGCCCCTGAGCCTGTCCGCTTCCCCGTTCTGGGAATAGCTTTACGGGGCCTCAGCACTCTCACAGACCATCTTGGTGACTCACTCCGCCTGGAGCGTGAAGCGTGGAAGCGCAGCCACCTCATGTGGCTCTGGCCACGTGCTGGCCCAGCAGAGCGGGGCGCCCTCGTCCAGCAGACCCTGGCCCCTCCCCCTGGTTGCCATTTCTGTCCGTGTCGCCGGGTCAGCAGGTCCCTTCTCTGTAGTAGCACACGGCCAGGGCTCCGTGTGTAAAGCACCCGACCTAATGCAGGTGGTGTTATTAGCCGTCCATGTCCTGGTGTTTCTTGTCCTGGCAGCGACCTCAGCGGGGTCACATACAGGTTCGCGACCAAAGCTCTGGCTGGCCTCGGGTCCTGCCCTAGCTCTGACCCTTCCGAGACAACAAAGCAGGTGTCCATGCCATGAAGCGATCTCTCCGGGTCATGGGCTGGACATTGCTGTTTCTGCGGTGACTGACCCCTGCGGATGCCAGGGGTCTGGGGGATGGCAGCTGCTGGCAGAGACCACCAGGTGGTGCTGCTGAGCCCACTTCGAAACCTGCAGCCACTGGGCTGGTGCTGAGGCCCTGTGGGAGCCACCGGGAGGGCAGAGGCCTGCTGGCATGTGACCCAGGAGCCCTCTCTGTCTGTCCACAGTCAGACTTCGGGGACGAGGAGCCTTTTATCTTCCAGCGAAATCAAACCGCCCTGATTCCAGACTTGTCGGAGGAGCTAGCCGAAGGCCCTGCTGGGGTGGCCACGGCCAGCGCGTCTCCTGAGGTCTGTGGGATGTGGCTCATGGGTTCTGGGGAGCTGAGCCCTGCGCAGGCTAGGTGGGGGGGGGCAGGGCAGTCACAGCTCTCCCTGGGCTGCCACAGCAACATGGGTCTGAGCCAGTTCAGAGCACCAGCCTAGACCTGTACACCAGGTCTTTCTCCAGGTGCAGCCCACGGTGTTCGACACCAAACATTTGTCCCCAGGAACCAAGCACCCCGAGGGCCGGGGGTGGGGGGCTGGATTTCCTCTTTGATTTCGACCCCCTCCCAGCTCTTGCCCTGACCACTCGCATGGGCGTTGGTGTCTGCAAGCACGATACATGCCCCCTGGCACCCGAGGCCCCCCGCGGCCCCCAGCGGCCGTCAGTGTGTCACAGAGGCCTCTCCCTTGGCGCGCTGGCCCAGCACTGCCTGGCCTGCCGTCCTGGGGCCCTCGTGCCCATCGGTTTCATGAAGGTCTCTGCAGAGAGGGAAAGAAGGTGCCCCGTGGAGGGGCGGGATGAACACACAGGCAGCAGGGAGAGAGCGCCGCCCCGCTCTGTAACTTGGTAGCGTGGCGCAAGTGCCCAGGGCCCCCCAGGCCAGGAGCTGGCCTCCAAGCGCCCCGTCTACCTGGGCCTGTCAGTCAGCTTCCTCACGGCTGGGACCCCGCTGGCAGGCTCCCCAGCTTCAGGGTGGCGGCATTGGGGATCTGCTCAAATGTCCCGTGTGGAGACGTGCGCTTGCCATGTAGCACGGGGGTGGGGCACCCCAGGGTGCTGCTGCAGTTCTCAGCGTGAGCTCCACGCCCCTTCCCACCACAGAGGGCACCCACCCGGCCACGCCTCTGGGCACATCTGAAGTGACCCAAACAGGAAGGGCTCCCGGCTGCCGAGACCCCGGAGTGTGGCGGGGTGGTGCCCAGACCTCCTCATGTCTCTGCAGCTCTCCTGGGGCTCCTGGGTCGGGCTAGAATGATGCCAGCCGCGGGGTGGAGGCCGCCGGTTTGCTCTGGAGCTCAAGGGCCCGGTTTCCTCTGGGCCGGTTCTGAAGAGCCAGGAGGACCGAAAGGTGGAAAACACCCCGTGTCCTTCGCGCAGAATGCGGCCCCTTGTACTACGGGGCACTGTCCACAAAGGAGCCCAGCACCGGCCCTGCTGCCGCGTGGCGGGGAGCACTCGCGTGGCGGGGAGCACTCGGCTAGCTGGGAGGGCGGGCAGGGCAGCTGTGCGCTCCCTCGGTGGGCACTGTCGAGCACACGCACTCCACAGACACTCTCGCGCACACTCTCGCGCAGAGGCCCTCAGGGAGGCGCAGAGCTCCCCTCCGGGAGGTGGAGACCGGGGAGTCGGGCCGGCTGCCCCACGGCGGGCGGCGTAGCTGCATGCCGGTCATCAGGCACATTTGTTGCCACGTCCCACCAGTAACAAGACTCCCGACGGCTTGGGGGTGCCAGCTGAGGCCACCTGTTTCCTCCCCAGCCAGCGGCCGAGCCTGCGGAACCCTGGGGGCAGTGGGACGCAGGGACAAGGAAACTTCTGGAAGGAAGGGAGCCTGGCGGGCCCCTCGGGAGCCGTGGCGGAGTCAACACTCTCCTCAGCGTGCCTGAGGCACCGCTCACGTGGCAGGAAGGTGGCGCTGCTGGGGGCACGACCAGAGGACCCCAGAGTCTTCCCTGGGGACTTCAGGGAGAAGCCACCGTCGCCCCACTTGAAGGAGACCTACAGGGGGAGCCCCCCAAAGCAGCCTCCCAAGTCCGCAGGGGCTCAGATTCTACAAACCACAGCGCTCTCCGGAGGGAGAGAAGGAAGATGATTGAGAGAGACATTCTCCACAAAGTGACACGGGCCCGCGGTGGGCCCGGTGCAGCCGCGGCATCAGGGCTGAGACCGGAAGCGCCCCCGGAGGGGCCCAGGGGAGACCCGTGGGTGCTCCCCCTGCAGGTAGTGTCTCCCCCCCCCCCCCCGTGCGTGCTGGAACCCTGGCGGGGGCTCGCCCTCGGCCGCTGTCACCAGGTCCCGTACTCTGGGCCTCGCGAGTTACAGATACTCGCTTCTCACTGCTCTGGAGGGTGGAAGTCCAAGGTCAAAGGGTTCTGCGAGAGGCTGCCCCGTTGACGGAAGGGGCGAGGGAGCTCTCTGGGGCTCCATCACAGTGACCCCCCACGGGGCGCCCCCTTGGGGTCTCATGAGCCGAGGGCCGGGGTGAGATCATCAGCGAGCCAGAGACCCCAGCCCTCTTCCGCCCGTGACTTCGGGGCCATCTCCTCAGTTTTGCACAGTTGTGGCCCCGGGGATGGTGGCTTTGTTAGAAACACTCCAGCAAGACATTGATAGGCCATGTGATTTTTTTTTTTTACCTTATTTACAAATTTTGATAATTTTCTTTTTAGATTTGCTTCTATTTATTTATACATACAAGAACCGGGGTGTAGGCCAGAGGTGCGGGGCCGGGGTGGGGGGGTGAGAGGCCTCAAAGAGACAGAGTAGGGAGCACTCTGACAGAGCCCGGTCTGCTGCGCCTTGGGGGTCACTCCCTGGCCGGGGGGGACTCAGGCTGCTGGGGCTGGCGGTAGCTCGAGAGCGCTGAGCCTTAACCCCTGCGCCACCAGCAAGGCCCAATTCGGATCAGTTTCACAGCTGTGGCATCAGGTGCCCGTGGATGTCCTTGTCAGTGCTGCCCAGTAAGCGTCCTCGCCTTCCTCTCGCCCCTAGCGCCGGCGGGGCGGCCCGCGCTCGGCCCTGCCGCACACACCTCGTCCTCCAGCTCCAGCACCTGCCAGAGCAGTGTCTTAAAAGTGGGAAATGCCTTGCTGTCTCTGGGCCCACGTCGTCTAAGAACACGGTTTCCTCTAGATCAGACAGTGCTCTTGTGCCAAAACAAAAGGAAGAGCTGGCCCGGGCCGCAGCCCAGTGGCCCGCGCCGCAGCGGGCGAGCCAGCCCTCGTCCGCTATGTGGACGTCTCCACCGCCGCCCCCTGCCCAGCTGCGGGCCAGCCTGGCCAGCTCGGATCAGGCGCTGGCCCACCACAGCCTCCTAACCGCAGCCTTAATTGTTTGAGCAGCTTGAGGAGTGGCGCCTGGATCACCTGCTTCAGAGCCTGTCCGGGCGAGGAGAAGGGGGAGATGCTGCACCTGGAGCCACGCAGCGGGCGGGCGACCGCGCCCAGGGCCCAGGTCTGGCCTTGCCCGGCCCGCGTGAACCCACCAGTACCTTTCTGCCAGTCTCGCTGCGGGCTGCGGGCTGGGTGCAGTCCGTCTCGCGCCCACCACGTCCTCTCGGCCACTCAAGCCCAACTGCCCTGAAGCCCCCGGTGCTGGCCGTCGAAAGACCACCTCCCTCCCTCACGCTGCGTGCAAACTGCCCACACGTCCCAGGGCCGGGTCCTGGGGTCCGATGGCCTTTCCGCCTCGGCCCGGCCCGGCCTCTTTCTGGAAGTAAAGTCCCTGGCCGCCCCTCGTGCTCCCTCAGCCACACTGAGCACACACTGCCTTCTTTTCCAAGGCAGCCAGGGTGTGGCCATCGCCGGCTCTGTCAATAAACGGCGCCCGACCCTGTCCACCCACAAGCTGAGGCACCCACACCGCATGGGGGGTTCCTGAGGGCAGCCTCCCGTCTCTCCGCAGGCCACACTGAGCCGGGCACGCAGGACAGGCTCCTGGAGCGGCTGGCCCTCCTGGGCGCCTCGCAGTCCAGAGCCCCCGCCTCCACCCGGGAGATCCCTGCTGGCCCACCCCTGGGCCCTGGGCCTCGGGAGGCGGAGAGCAGGTGGGGCTTCCCGCCTCCCTGTCCCCTCCTTACAGCCAGCAGCTGGGAGCTCCAGTGGGCCGGCTGTGGGCGGGCACTGGGTGGGCGTTCAGGTTGGGGTGCTCTTGGCCCAGTTTCCTGGCTGGGGAGGTGGGGGCTCAGAGGCTGGCTGGCCCAGGGGTGCGTGGATTACTCCCAAAGCGCCTGCTCTTCCCCCGCACCCCAGGGGAGCCCCCCCACATCCACAATGCCCCTGGGGTGGGGACCCTGCCCCTCTGGCCTCTGCTGAGGGGACCCCCCCAGCATCTCTGGGTGGGAGTGGAAAGCAGAGAATGGCTCTGTTCTTTCTAGAGAGAAAGACAGGCTGGGGGTGGGGGGCGGTGGGGCACACCGGGTTCCTCAAGGTCCCCCCGTATTCGTGTTTCTCCTCGCCTTCACCTGAGCTGGACAGGTGACCCAGAGCACCTAAGCCAGAAGCGTGGCCAAGCCCCGCGCACCGCGGGTGCAGCCGTGGGCCGCCGTTCGGGCTCTGACTCGAATTCGCTCGCATGCAGGGTGCCATGGTCAGAGGAGGGGAGCCCTGGCCGTCGGCGGGTGCGCTTGGACGGCTCTGGCCTGACTGGGGCTGTTCCAAGCACAGGGGCACCCCGCGGCGACCCGGCACCCTCTCTCCTCAGGCGCGCTTTGGCAGGGCCCGGCCTCCGGACAGAGCTGGGCCCCATGCTGGCTGACGGCTCGAGGCCAAGGAGCTCCGTGGAGCCCCCCACCGTCTTCATTGATCTGCGGCCCCCAGAGCCATCACACCCGGGCTCGCGGGAGAGGTACCGGCAGTGAGGCCTGCAGCAAACCCGCTGCTTTGCGGCCACCAGATGGGCCTCGGGTGCGGAGGACAGGGGGCAGCTCCGGGCCAGTCCGGCACTGCTGTGCCAGAGGCCCGGAGGCCGGCCACGCCCTCTCGGCCCCTCAGCAGCTCCCTGCGGGCAGGGGAGAGCAGGGCCAGAGCTGCAGTAACCTGGGGCGCATTGTCAAGCGCCCCCCCACCTGGCAGGGGGGCTCAGGTGGCTGGGGGCACTGTGGAGGGTCCAGCCAACCATTTCCTCACCCCAGCTCCAGCACCAGAGACAGCTCCAGCTCTGGTGAGGAAGAGGAGGAGACAGAAGCGGAGCCGGCATCGCCCTCCTCCCAGGGCCTACGGTGAGCACAGAGGCCTCCCCCACCCGCCGGGTCTGGGTTCAGCCCCCGCCCTCGGCCTGGCACATGCCAAGCGACGTCTGTCCGGCACCCAGAGGGCCAGCGCTGGAGGGTGGGTGCCGGGGTGGGGCCCTCCAGACGTCACAGGGGACACCTGAACTGGCTCTCGTCTTGGGGTGGGGGGTGAGCACATTCTCTGAGGAACCTCATTTCCCTGCGGAGGGCGGGGTAAGTGTGGGTTGGCAGCCCGAAGGGAGCGCATGCGTGCAGTGAAACGCCAGCTTCAGCGAAGACCCTCTGAAGCCGGGAGGGGCCCGCTGCGCCCACAGGGCAGATGAGCTGCACGCAGCGAGTGCCGGGGCCTGGGACCCGGGGCTGGTGCTGCTGCCCCCAGCGTGGCGCCGTCGGCCACCGCGGAAGCCACTCGGGGTGGGGACGTGCCCTGCAGGCTTCCCACCCACGTGAGGCCTCAGCGAGGGCTGTGACGTCAGGCCTCGCCCGAGAGCGGGGCGCGCTGGGAGGTGGGGCCGCCACTGAGGGCAACCGAGGCGGCTGCTCTGTCACAGGCACTGTTCGGGGAAGAGTCAGCTCCTCCAGCAGCTCAGAGCATTCCGGAGGGGGACAGCTCAGCCCCAGCTGCCCGCCAGCAAGGGCCGCAGCGACCACAGGATGTAGGCCCCTGAAGACATGGCCGGGTCCCCTGTCTGGGTCGAGGGGCAGATGCCGGGCTGGAGCCCTAGGAGGATGTCCCAGGACCCTGAGGGCCCTCTTGGGTCAGACACAGCCCGGAGACCCTGGTGCCGCCTCAGGCCCGCGGCAGAGCTCCCTGGCAGCTTGCGGAGGTCAGCAGGACGCGCGGCCCGCCCGGGCCCCTCACTCTCCCAGGGCCCCGTCCTCCCGTCCTCCGCCAGAACCGGCCCGGCCAGCTTTGCGCGCTAGAGCCAGGAGGCCAGGGCAGCTCTGTGGCCAGGGCGCCGCAGCCCCCCGCCCCCCGCAGAAGTGCCTGTGAGGAGGAGCCGCTGGCTGCAGAGGGTGTGTTCCGGGAGGGCCCCCCGCTCGACCCCTCCACTCTGCACACCCCTCTTACTGTGCACCCTTCGTGCGCCACACAGGGCTTTTTCAAAAACTAACGCTCGAGTAAAACACGCTTGAACAATTAACTGCGGGCCAAAGCCTCTTGAAAGAGAATTCGCCTGCCGCTCTGGTCCCTGCTCGCCGCTCCCGTGACAGTCACACAGCCCACCGCGGGTGCAGAGCAGGAGGGCTCTTTGCTGAGGGTGCGCCTCCCCCTTGAAACCTCGCGACGGCACCTGTCTGCTGGGGCCTGAGCTCCCTCCGCGCTGCCACACTGCTGCTCTCGTCCCCGGGACAGGCTGCTGACCCCCTGCAGGTGACCAGCAGGACCGGGGCCCCCTGTTCTCAGCCCAGGGCCCCGTTCTGAGTCCTGTCGGCACGCCTGTCCCCAGCCCTGCCACCCCCGACAGGCTGAGGCTGGGCCTGGGCCTCTGGCTGACTTCTCGGGATTCTGTGTCTGTTCAGCTGCTCTGCTCGGCCTGCAAGGGGACAGCGGTCACCTCAGTGCCTTTTCACGGACCTGCAGCCTGGCATTCAGGCCGCTTAGCTGGGGTCACCACTGGCTGACACAGTGCTGAGGGCCTGTGCTCATGAAGCCCTGCCCCAAGCAAGGCAGGCTGTGGCGGCCAGACCAGGGCCTTGGAGCCACACTGGGCTCTGCCCGCCCCACCCCAAGGGGCTTTTCATTAGCAGTCAGGTGTCAGCTTCCAGGGCCACAGGGCCCCCGCGAGCCTCCAGCTTTGACCAGGCCAGGCTGCTGTTGCCCAAAGCCCTGGGCCTCCCCACAACCCCCGCTCCCAGCACGTGCTGCGGGCTGGCCCAGGCCCCCACAGGGCAGCGTGGGTCACAGCCTCTGGTGGCACCAACCCAGCGGGCAGGAGCACAGGCCACTGTTCTCATTTCACCCCGTCTCCCCCGGGTCTACTCGCCTAATGCCAGCAAGTTCATTTAGGTTATCTCACGGCAGCGCTAGAAGACAAACGATCCCACGATTACACTGTCAAGGCAGCTGGAGGAGAGCTAGCGGGTCAGCCAGTGTGGGTTCAGGCCAGGGCCACTGCCTGAACAAGGCGCTCAAGCTCTCAGGGGCTCTTCCCCGTCGGCAGGAGAATCACAGCAGCCCCACATCGCAGGCCGATGAGTGTCTGGAACCTAACTGCCCTCCGCACGTGCCAGCACAGAGGCTGGTGATGGCGACGGGCCGAAGCAGGCCAGGGCGCACGAGGCAGGCGGAAGGCGCGGAGGGCCCCGGCTGAGAAGCCCCATCTGTTGGACAGGCTGAGGCCCTGTCACTGGCCGGGAGAAGCCAGGCCGGGGCTCATGGCTGCAGAGGCAGGTGGCGCAGCAGGGTGCTGGGCTCCAGAAGCTGGCCCAGGTGGTAAGTATCAGCCCTGGCCCAGGCAGCCGCCTCTCCAGAGAGCACGCGAGGGCCAGGAGGGCTGTCATTTATTTAGCGAGCAGAGAAGGGGGTCACGTGGAACCTGGGTGTGTGGAGAGGTGGAAATGTCTCGTGATGGGGACGCAAGGGAATGGAGCATCACAGCTGGCAGGGGAGGGGGGGGGCTCCCAGCGAGGAGGAACCCACTCCCTGCATGGACTCTTCCAGAACCCAGTGCTTTCAGCAGCTACCCTGACTCCTCTGATGGCTAAAGCAGGCAAGACTTCTGCTGCTCTGTCAGCCACTCGAGAGGCATGGCTGTGGGCAGCTCTGGGCACAGGCGCTTCAGAAAGGCCAAGGCCAGCCTGTCCTTGGGGTCCAGCAAAGGCGGCCCAGAGCCCCGCCCTGGGGAGCGGTGGCAAGGCTCCCCAGCCTGGCGTCCAGGGCTTCTGCTGGCACAAGGGGCTAAGTCTCAGCACAGTGAAGCGATCGATCGGCAGCCACCGCAGCACGAGTCCATCCCTGGCCAGGGAGCGACCCCCAGGGTGCAGCAGACCCCTCCTGTGCCCCCACTGCTCCCTCAGCAGTGTCGCTGTGGATCTGCCAGTTGTGCTCTCCACCCTGTCTCTGGGGCGTCCTCTCACCCCACAGCCACCTTTGCACCTCTGGCCTGTAGCCCAGCTCTTGTATGCATAAATTAAAAAATCTTAAAAGTAAGAGAGGATGAGGCCCAGGGGAAGCATTGCCACACCCCTGTACATCCTGTGTATCAGGTCGAGGGTGACTCCTATTTCCTCATTGATAGCTGGGGGGTGTGGGGACTGGAATAGCCTCTCCAGGCTACACTTTGACAGTGTGTCTCTGGGCATAGCCAGGCCCAGGGCAGGCAGGGAAGCCATCACAGAGGGGAGGACTGTCCCCCAACTCTCTCCACGCGGAACTTCTGCATGGAGCCTTACTTGGCAATAGGGCCGCGGCAGGTGGGGTCAGCTGAGTTTACAGTAGACACGTGTCCTTGTTAAAATTAAGGAGAGGACTGACTGATGTCCCGGGAAGACAGGCAGAGAGGCGGCGAGTGGCCAGCGGAGGCCCAGCGCAGGAGGGCGCGGCCGGCGGGGGCTGTGGGCTCCCACCCAGCTGAGACAGCGGCCGAGCAGCCGGCCCAACACAGCCCACGGTGTTCTCAGGCGGGTGGGCGCTGTCCGCCCGTCTGGGGGACCTCTAGGAATCGCGGCGGGGCAATTCCGGCAGGGGTGGGGGCAACGCAGCCCCGGGCCGCGCGGGCAGGCCTGGGCCCAGGGGGCTTCCCGGAGGCGGCGGCCCGGGCTGGGCGCCATGGCTGCGCTGGTGCTTGTGGAGGTCGGCGCCTCGGCGGAAGCCCCTGCCGCAGGCCGGGCAGGCGTAGGGCTTCTCGCCCGTGTGCGTGCGCCGGTGCGCGCTGAAGTGCGAGCTGTTGCTGAAGCGCTTCCCGCACTGCGCGCAGGCGTAGGGCCGCTCGCCCGTGTGCGTGCGCCGGTGGATGACCAGGCTGGAGCTCTGGCTGAAGCGCTTCCCGCACTGCGCGCAGGCGTAGGGCCGCTCGCCCGTGTGCACCCGCTGGTGCGTGCTGAAGTTGGAGCGGTCGCTGAAGCCCTTGCCGCACGCCTGGCACCGGTAGGGCCGCTCCCCGGTGTGCGTGCGCCGGTGCTTGGTCAGGTGCGAGCTCTTGCCGAAGCCCTTGCCGCACTCGGGGCACGTGAAGGGCCTGGCCGCCCCCTGGGGGCCCCCTCTGGCTCCCGGCCGCGGGGGCCTGGTCGGGCCCTGACGGCCGCCGCTGAGCGCCTGGTCGCCCTCCGCTGTCCTCGGGGGGCCCTCCCCGGTGTCCTCGCCATCCTCGTCCTGCGCCCCAAGCCCTGAGACAGAAAGCAGTCACTGAAGGGGAAGCAACGGCTACAGGGGAGTCCAAGCCAGGACAGCGCCCACCCAGGAGGGCGGCAGGGCCCCGTCGGGGACTGGGCAGGGGGCTGGGGGACATGGTGGCGTGGTTACCTCCCCATGTCACAAGGTGGGGGGCCATGCCCAGATTCACACGGCTGTGAAGGCGTGTGCCCTGGCAGCCAGCCTCCGGAGGGCTCTCCAGGGCATGCTGGGGGCAGGTGGCCGTCCGTCACGCTGGGAAGGGGCTGCAGCTGGCCTCTAGTGGGTAGGGCCAGGGATGCTGGGGCTCCGGGCCACGGTGCCCTGACGCTCGGCCAAACGTCAGTCTAGAAGTTGCTCTGGAGGGTACTTTGCGGCTGTAACATCTGTCATCAGTGTGGGCGAAGAAAGCAGGCTGTTCTCTGCACCAGGTGGCCTGGGCTCACCAGGTGAGGGTCTTATGAGCAAACGCTGCGTTTTCCTGAACAAGAAATTCTGCCTCGAGACTGCAGCAGAAGCCCTGCCTGGCCTTCGCGAGCTCGCCCGTCATACAGACCTCAGTCTCGCCGGCCCGTATGTGAGCCTCCTGCTTAAAACCTGCCTGCGCCCCTGGGGTACGCCTGGCCCAAGGCGGCGCCTCAGCCCCCGAGACAAGGCTGCAGGCAGTAAGGGTGTCGCGAGGAGCAGGGCAAGCTGCGTGGGACGAGCAGGAGCGAGGCAGTTGGGTGGTGAGGACAGCCAGGGCCGTGCTGGGAACCGCGGTCCCCGGGGAGGGCAGGGGCTGCAGGCCGCCCGGCCCACGGGCGGGGAAGGAAACAAAGGGACAGCACGCCCTGGCGCCTGCGGTCGGCCCACTGAAGGGCCAGGCGCCTCCCTGCTTTCCCGTCTGGCGGCTGGGAGGACCCAGGGACACCCCTGGCCCACGAGACCAGCCCCGCATGGCCTGTGAGCCCCTGCTTTTATCATGTTCCCCAGTAATTCCTGGGGATGCAACGTCGGAAACTACTGGACAGGTTCCTCCAGGCTGCGGGGCCAGGAGGGTGCTGGGAGGCCACGCCCCGCGCCCCAGCCTTGGGACCAGCAGTGGGGTGCCGGGTGGGCCAGGGGGGTGCTGGGTAAGCCACAGCCCACCGGGGCTACTCCACCCGAGGCCCACGCCAGAGACACGTCGCGTTTCCGATGGGCCCGGCTGCGACCCGGCACGTTACCCTCGCGCTGCGGCACCACGTCCCAGCCGCGGTCCTGCCGAGCCGGGTCCGGGCCTCCCCAGTCCTCCCGGGGCAGGCACGCGGGCGCCTCCTTCAAGGTCTCTGGCACCTGCAGGATTGCAGCCCTTCAGGCCCGTGCCCAGGAGCGCCCTCCCTGCACCACCTGCTGCTGGGCACCGCCACTGCCACGTCACTGTCGCAGGGCCGCAGGCAGGGCCAGTGTGTGGGGACAGTGGGCCCACTGTCCGCTCAGCCATCGGGGCCCAGAGTCCCCCGCTCTTTGGCATCGGCCCCACTTAGCCCTGGGGCCCAAAAGGGGTACAGGGAGACTTCAGGGTGCCTCTACACCTGGGCTCCCAAATCCAGCACATGTGGCCTGGGGGTATGATGAAAAGCCAAGCAGAAAATGCCCAGGAGAGCCACACCCACAGTCGGGAAGGGGGAGACTGGGGTGGGGAGCAGAGGTACGTGCCGGAATGTGCTAAGTTGCTGCGACGACCGGAGTCACTGCCCGGGCTGAGCGCCCGTGAGCTTGGCCCAAGAGACAAAGGACCCGCTGGGTCTGAAGTGACCCCTGCTCACCACTGCACCCCAAGTCCGCTGGGGCATGCCTAAGAGCCGGCACCCCTGGCAGGACTCCCAGGAGGCAGAGGCAGAGTGACACGGCAAAGCCACGGATGAGGCCAGGAGTGTCCCAGGAGAGGGTGTGGGCGCCAGACGCCGCCCCGCTCACCTGGGACCGGGATGAAAGGCAGGACGTGGCCGGTGCCGCCGGCTCCTGCTGCGGGGGGACCGCTGGGCCTGGGGAGAGAGCAGTCGCCTCTGAAGGCCCCCCCACTGCCCACCCAGTTGCAGCTCCTGTGCTCAGCCCCGCCCTCCCGCCCCAGCAGAGTCCACCCTTCCCTCCCTGCCCTCCCCTGCCCGTTCCTTTCCTCCAGAGTCAGCTACTCACCCCTCCTTGGCCAGACCTGGGCCCCACTTTTCTGTCTGTGGCTCAGCTGGGCTGGGTGCTGCAGGACGGGGTGCCCCACCCCTTGTCCCAGGGACAGCTGCTCTGGTGTGGTCTCAGCCTGGCGTGGCAAGGGCTGTGCTCCTGCCTCCCGGAGCACCGTGGCATCAGAGGGCGCCCCTGGGCCCTGCATGCAAAGGGAGATCTGCCCACCCGATCTTCCCAGATCAGGGAAGCCCAGTGCCTCGCTGAGGCACTCCGCATCCTGCGCCCCCAGGGAGGCCTCAGAGGGCTGCATGTGTAACGGGGAATCTGCCCGTCACCCCCAGGCTGTGGGGCTGCAGTGGGTGCCAGAGCACAGCTGTCTGCAGGCTTCGCTTCCTGACAGTCCTGCGTCTGCACTGGTCAGCAGTGGCCACTGGCCATGGGTGACAACCGAGGGCTTGAACTATGCCACTGTGACTTCAGAACGACACATAAAAATTAGTTAAACCTGTGTACTGGGCAGCCCAGTCCCGGGAGGGAACTTCCGGGCACCCAGGCAGCGAGGCACAGGCCTTTCTCCCAGGGCTCTCCCTCTCCGGGACCTCGTCAGCTCCCAAGCCCAGTCCCGGAGGGTCTCCAGGCTCCTGCCATCAGCATGCTCGCTTGGGGCCGGTGGAGCACTGTGTGGCTGACAACGGGAGGACACCCGCCAGCCAAGCTCTTTAGTTCCCGTGCGCAGGGAGCCCTCCAGCAAGCCAGCTGCCGTGGCCCCGGAGCCGAGATGTCCACACGCAGACCTCGGCAGCCGGGCCCCGTTTCCTCCCCTCAGGGCCAAAATGCCCCCGCCTCACCCGCTGTCTCCGTTTCCTGGGCCCCCTCTGCAGCCCCTCCACCAGGGCCACGGCCTCCTCGCCGCTCTCGGGCTGCCGCTCCCGCACCCGGGCCTGGGTCTCCTCCGGCAGGATGGTCAGGAACTGCTCCAGCACCAGCAGCTCCAGGATCTGCTCCTTGGTGCGCAGCTCGGGCCGCAACCAGCGGCAGCACAGCTCCCAGAGCCGGCTCAGCGCCTCCCGGGGCCCGGCCACCTCCTGGTAGCAGAAGAGCCGGAAGAGCTGGCGGAAGGTCTCGGGGCTGGGGTCTTCCGTGTCCGAGGGGGGCTCCTCCTCCCAGCAGAAGTCCTCCTCCACCTTCACCATCAGGATCTCGTCCTGCTCCAGCGGGGGTAGGAGCTGGACACCGCCAGGAGTGGCCATAGCGCCCCGGGGGTCTGCTCCTTCTCACACCTCAGGGCACAACCTGCCCCTTACTGTAACTCTGGCCAGACGCTGGAAAAGGTGTTTTCAGGACTCTGTGGAAAGACGATAACATCACTTGGGGTGCTGCCCCCACTGGGTATCTACACCCATAAGCACCCACCCTGGCTGGCAAAAAGGAAAGGGTTGAAATAGATGAACTAGTCCTTGCTATCACCCCAAAAGATCAACTGGTCCTTGCTGTTACCCCTAATAGAGCAACTAGTCCTTGCCGTTAGCCCTAGTAATTCCAGGGCTGGTTCAGAAACTTCTCGGCCTCAGTTTTCTCATTTGGAGGGCGAGATATCTGAGGGGAACAAACGAGGTATTTGCAAAGGGGCGGCACAGCGTCGCCCTCCAGTGTCACTGCTACAGCTGGCCATTTTAGGATGGGGGGGCCTGCGGGAAATGGTGAGCCCGGAGTTTCTCTGTCTAGGGGACGCAGAGTCCGTGCCCCGACGAGCGCGAGGTCCCTGCGCGCGCCCGCGGCACCGGCGGGCACGGTCACCAGGGTCGCGAGGGCTGCGACTGCCCGGCGGGACTGCGTTCCCCGCGCCTCGGTGGACGGTGCGCCGTGGTCGGGGCGCACATCGCGCGGTGGAGGCTGGAGGCGGCACCCCGCACCCGCACTCACCGGCAGCACTGCGGGCCGTGGGGGCTCCGGGGCGTGCCGGGGCGGAGGGCGCGCAACCCGAGGGACGCGGCTGCCGGGGGCTCGGCGGCTGCCCGCCCTGGACCGGGGTAGGGAAGGCAGAGCCCGGTCTCGCAGGACGCAGGCGCAGTGGGGGCCGGGCCGGCCACCGGCTGGGCCGGCTAGGGCGTGAGAGCGGGGGCGGGCCCAGGGGGACAGCGTGATCATGTACTCCTAGCACCATTGGCTGAGCCGGCTGTCGAGCGTGAGAGTGAGTCTGGATAGGCGGGCCCGCACGCGGCATTGTGGGTACTGTAGTTCTCTTTCTTCTGGCGGCTTTGCGACCGGGGGGTGGGAGCCAGGCCTCGGGCACAGGCCCGCGTGAGGCCTTGTGGGTAATGTAGTCCATGCAGGGTTGCGCGGCCCTGCGATCTAGGCTGGAGGCCATCGCTTACCTGCCTCATCCTCACCTGGACCTGCTCGGTCTGAGCGCCCCATTCCCTCCCAACGCCCCCTACACTGGCCAGAGAAGGTGGGCGGTGGAGGGGGAGCCCGAACGTGTCCTTTACATTGAGTACTTTGTATGTGCCAGGCGCTCCTGTTAGCCGCCCCAAGAGGGTAGCGACTCTCCCCGGAGCTTGCTTACTAGGACGAAGCAAGATAATGCATGAAAACCCTTTCCTTTGGGGTGAAATATAGAAACACCTAGCAAACAGCTGCTTTGCTTTTATTTTCATTGACAGCATCACCTGCCGTGTGATGCTGGGAAGTCGCCCGGGACTCGGCTTTGTTTGGTTTCCATTTTAAATTTTAGGCAGAAGATCGATCAGTTAACAGGAGACACAAGTAGTTGTTTACACTCGAGTCACCCAGCTTTTGAAAGTTTAGCAGCCCTACAAATCAAACTGTTACAGGGCAGCAAATCTGTTCCAGGACAGGCGGAGAGGGACACCCCTGAAGCCCCCAAAACCTGCCTGCTCTAAGTGGGTTCTGCCATCCGCCGCAACAAGACAAAACATATAAAACTTTAATGAAAAGGGACTTTAATACAGTGAATATACAATACGGAACACAAAGAATAGAACTTCTAAATCAAACACCTGAAGTCACCATCCCCTCGTGGGCGAAAGTCCCCCCAAAAGGGACTGGCCCAGAGCAAGGCCTGAAAGCTGCCACTAGACTAAAGCACCTTCTGGCTGGGACCATGGAGAAGGGTCAGAAATGGCCAGACAAGTCTGGGAGGAAAAGAGCAACATCAAAATCCATATAAACACGGCCATAGTCACCTCCCTGCAGGTCTCTCACCCACCTCTGCCTTAGCCAGCCCAGGGTCAGGAAACAGCCCGGTTTCTTCCTCACACGCTCGCTGCTCCATGTGGCTTCCTCAGGTCTCCTCCTCCTTCTCCATCCAGCTTCATTCCCTTCTTCTCTTCTCTCCTTTTTCTCTGCTCAGCTCCACCTTCCTTCTGGGTGGGGCAGGGAACCTGGAACTTCCCTTTTTCCTAGGGACCACCCTGTTACAAAATGAGAGGCAGACAGGTAAGAGCCTCCTTGAAAAGCATGTGGTGCCACTTGGTGAAGTCATTATGGACAGAGGCGTGTGGCTGCGGGAGTGTCGGGGCCACCAGGCCTGCTCGGAAACCTGCTCGTGGGCTCGTCTGCCAAGCTCCGGCTGTGGTCAGCCCAGACATTGCTCAGAGTGGAGTGAAGAACCACACTCTCCTCTTGGGGAAATTACAGGGCTTGGGCTGACGCAACACTGCAGACTGGGGCTTAGCCTCTGTCCTGGAGGCTGGCCGAGGCCGAGGTGCCTGCTGGGGTACTGGCATGACTTCTCGGAGTGGCCACCCAGCGGGCAGAGTTTCTCTTCTCCCCTTAATAGGGCTACATTGCCCTCCGGCCAGGGCCCCGCCTACTTTAACCTTAACCACTGCTTGCTCCTAGCCCAGATACACATCACATCCGGGGTGAGGGCCTCACCATATGAACTCTGGGGGGGCCTGGGGGCAAAGGGGTGATGGGGCACAGTTTAGTTTATAGCTCACGTTTTGCACACTAAACGTTCTGGAATATTCTTAGCACACATGGCCCTTCCCATCTCCTAAAACACAAGCCTCTCTTGGTCTTGCTCGTAACATTATACGAGTGACACGGCCGTGCAGGCTGTCTTTCTGCAGGACACAGCAGGGTGACGCGGCAGTGTCTGAGCAGGGGGCCCAGGGACTGCCAGGGAAACAGAGCTGCCGGGCCGCTCATTTTTTCTTTTAACTGGTATTGCAAAAGCAGTAACTTTAAGGTTCACTTTTGTAAAAAAAAAAATGTCTTTGTAGCTTTTTTTTTTTGAAGCATATTTATTTATTTCTGCATACGGAACTGGGGTACAGGCCAGAGGTGCAGGGGTGGTGAGAGGATTCACCAGAGACAGAGTGGGGAGCAGAGCAGGCAGAGGGACGAAGTACACTGCTGAGGGGAGCGGGCGGGTCAGGAGAGGTCTGCCGCGCCATTTGGGTCACCTCTGAGGTTGGGGGCCTGGGACTCTGCTCGGGTCTTGGGGATCACCGGCTTCGAACCCTCCTTCCTCTGGTCACTGAGGTCGTGGGCCAGTCACTGATGCCCTCTGAGCCTCAGTGTCCATTTTTGTGAGCCGGGGGGCCTTCACCATTCAAGGTAGCAACTATTTGCCATTCATAGAATTTTTGAAAGCGGTCTACTGTGTGCCTCCATCTGCAGGCCGGCCTGGTGCTGGGGACCCCGACCAGCTGAGCCCATTCGTTCTCATGCAGTGCACATTCTAAAAAAAAAAAAAATACAGGCAGTGGACACAGAAATTGCGCCCCTGTTGAGTCACATGTGGGGTCACCCCTGGCAGGGTTGTAGAGTAGAAGCCCTGACCCCTCAGGGCGCAGGTGAAGGCTGAGCGGAGGGCGGGCGTGGCCGCTGTGCAGGAGCACAGGTGTGAAGGCGCGTGGCTCTTGCAGGGCACCGGTATGCCCGAGGCTGCAGCCCAGGTGCGGCGGGGCCTGGATTGGTGGGACCGTGGGGCCAGGAGTGGGGTGGAAGGGACCTTGGAGCCCGGTGAGGACCCAGGGTCATTATCCTAAGGGCAGTGGACAGAGCAGAGTAGGGCTTTGTCGTGGGCTCAGATCTCTCTCCAGGAGACCAGAGGAGCAGGGAGACCAGCTGGAGGCTCCTGGATGGGGCCAGAGTCGGGGCGAGGGAGGGAGGTGACGAGAACGACTCGGTAAAATGGGGACAATAACATCTCCCGCTTTAGCTGCCCGTGGGGTTAAAAGAGGCAGAACAGAAAGCCCATCTCATTGCCAGAGCTTAAGGTGCACTTCGTGAATAAGAAAGGCTGCCTCTGTGTTCAGAGGAAATCTGTTTATAAATGGCAAAACCTGAAAATAATGTATATATCTGGGAAGGGGAAAAATAAATAAAAGCCATGTATGTGCCAGTGGACAGATGGTGGATAAACCTCACAGAGTTGATGTGCAAAAACAGCACGTGGTCACGTGACACCATCTGAGTCGGTTACATCAGCAGGCAGAGCTTACATGCCATGCAGACTGTGGGCAGCCTGTCAGCACTTGCTGGGGGTCTGGGGAAATAGCAAATTCCGGGTGATGATGACTCATGAGGAGACACTGAAAGGTGCAGGAGGCCCAGCTGAGTTTTTTTAAAGATGTATTTATTTATGTTTACAGAACTGGGGTACAGGCTAGAGGTCTGGTGGGTGAGAGGCTTCCCCAGAGACAGAGTGGGGAGCAGAACAGGCGGATGTACTGAAATACGCTGCTGAGGGGAGCGGCGGGAGGGTCAGGAGGGGTCTGCCGGGCCCTGGGGGTCACCTCGGGGCGGGGATCAAACGCCTCCTGCTGCGTCGGCTTCTGAGAGCGTCATAAGGCAGTGCTCTAACCCCCGAGCCGCCAGGGAGGGCCGACCTGTGCGTTCTAATGTGTTCTGTTTTAGACAACGAAATCCCCCTCCCGGGAAGTTGCATCCTCCAAGTACTGGCGCCTAGCAGATGTTTTCCTACGCAATGCAAAGTAAGCGCAGCACTCGTTGGAGCAGGCGGCATTAGCTGTACCCTGGTGCTCTTAATTTCCTTGCTTCAGCTTTTGGCTCGCCATCTCCCCTCTAGAGCACAGCACACACCTCCTGAGTCATCTCACTGCACCGCTGACCCCACCCACAGCGGCCGGGCAGTTGTCAGGCCTTAGCAGCTTTCTGTTCCCTTCCTAGTGAATTGGCCTGGCCCTTGTCTGAAACCTCAGATCAGATTTCTGCCACTTTCTATTGAGTTTCCTTCTCTTGCAGAAGTTTTCCTTTGTGTGCCACTGCGCGGCCTGGCACCCTGTGATTGCCACACAGCTCCCGCTGGTGACGACTCCCCACTGGACTTTCTCCTGTCCCCAGACGTGTGTTGTGCTGACGGATGAAGCAGCTCTGAGTGTGCTCATCTCTGCAGTGGGTCAGGGGGCTGTTTTATTATACCAGGAACACAGGGTTCTTTCTGAGATTCCCCGTTTTAAAAAATGACCCCTACAGGCCCTGCCGGTGCGCAGAGGGTTAAAGCACAGCCAGCGCTATGGAGCCGCTGAGGTAGGAGTTCGATCCCGTCCAGGGGGTGACCCCCAGGGCCCGCAGACCCCTCCTGTCTCCCCACCGCCCCCTCAGCAGTGTGTTTCAGTGCATCCGCCTGTCCTGCTCCCTGCTCTGTCTCTGGGGAAGCCTCTCACCCCCCACACCTCTGGCCTGCACCCCAGTTCTGTATGAACAAATAAATAAGTCTTGACAAGTCCACTCTCACTGGAGGGCAGCTCAGAGGCGCCATTTATTCAGCAAGCCGTCCTCAAAGCGCAGCTTTTCCCGGCAGCTCGGCCTCAGGGGGAGGGCACTGGGGCGGGGGCGGGGG